GAATGTTGGCAAGGGTGATAAGGTAGTAGTAGCAGCTGCAAAAGTATTTTGAAAATATCCTTCAGAGTTGAGAGGACATTGTTTGTAATGGGTTTTGATCAAAATGTTATATTTTGTCTTATAGTGAAATTCAAAGATTTTTAATAAATCATATTTTCATTGTTATAGTTGGGTCCTAGCACTAGAAAGAATCACAAAGATGCTACACTATACAAAAGCTACCTCACGTTTTTGGGTGACAAGAACTTTTCCAGTGAATGTCGAGCGAATGTCACAGCTTTTTGAAATCCTTTACCTGAAATAGCACAAAAGACTGGGACATTGAGAATGAAGCAGACCTTTAGATAGCCAACTTTGTTGGCGAGCAACACAATGGTGGGGAATCATCATTGGCAGGGGATCAAAGTTGCCACTACCCAGCGCCTTTACAAGGACAATGGCATGTCAAGTGACTCTCGTATCTTTCAGCTTCAAAAACTCTGTCAAAGTGCTTTCCAGGCACTCTTGAGGAATGGAAAGTGTGATTCCAGGTCTTTAGATGGAATGAAAATACGCATGTACAAAAGAAGGTAAGTTCTATCGAGAAGAGACAAAGACCTGTATAAAGGACCCAAGGCTTCTCTGGCACTGGCCAGCTGTGTATATTCGGCCACAAGCTCAGGACCTGGACACGAATGCTGCAAACTTTCAGTCGCTGCTCGTCAAAAGTACGTTAAACAACAAATTCTCGAAAGAAAAAAGAACCAAAAATATGCCTGGTTGCTGTAGCATTTGCAGCTACAAACAAAAAAATTGAAAACGATAAGAAAGAACTCACGTTGACAGTTCCTCCGTGATCGATTACGTCACCATCAACGTCGATGTATCCTGCTTGGAACACTCTTCCACTGGGAACACTTGCACCTATAAATGCATCAAAGATCAAACAAAGCTTCGAGTGAGAGATACGTGAGATACTTGCATTCCACCACTGTATGCTCGTAAGCAGGCCAATGAACTTGAGTCCCAGAGAACAATGAGATCCAGAAGACCATCTGCAAACTGCTATGGACGTAAGAGAATGCGAAATCTTAAGTGTGACCTTGGACTTGGGGTTACCCCAAGGAACGTTTTGCAGCAAAACCATCACGGATGCTCCCTCCATCACTCTCCAGTTGACGAGGATACCAGTTAGGCGTAAGCCATGTGTAATTTCCTCTGCAAAAGGAGTGGAGCTCCATCATACTGCGTGGTATTCACTGAGTTGGCCATCTCTCTCGCATGAAGCTGGTGAAACAGAGAAAGTTTTATGTCACGAGAAAACACCTTCGTTTGTGACCTCAATGCGAGCTGCTGGGAGTTAGTCTTCATTGATGAAAACGATCGATCTCTCCGGCCTCCCTAAAGAAAAACACAGAAAAGTCCAGGAAAAGGAAATCACACTCAGCAAGAAGATCTACTTACATGATCGGCATCTCACAGTCCTCTTGCGCTGATTGCCTCCACAGCACCCCTTCTCTGTGAATCCATGAATGTCGGTGCTGATCCCATGGCCGTCATTTCAACACCCCCGAGGAGCTGAAAGACCGAGCAGGAGCTGCGCAACTTACGTAGTTTGCTCGGAAGGGCAAACTATAAATGCTTCACTTAACAGATCGGCAATAAATCGAAGTGATCTATTATAAGGCGAGCAAACTTTGTGGCCTGCACATCGCGAACGAATTCAGTAACCAGAAAAATAAAGTTTCCACTACCTCGAGATTGCGATGTCTTTGTCGATCCTCATTACAAGGACCATGGCATTCTGAAGCGACTCTTTCGTGCTCATAAGCTCCATCAAGGGCTTTCCAAGCAGCCGGTACTCATGTAACTTTAGAGGGTCTTCAGATGGAATGGAAGAACTACACTTAACAAAAGAAGGAAATCAGTTTCTATCCAAAATAGACAGAGACCTATAAGGAAGGGACGTGCAAGGCTTCACTCGTGTACATTCCGCCACAAGCTTAGCACCTGGACATGAATGCTCCGCCGCTCGTAAGAGGTACATTATAAAAAAATCGCAGCGTGTTACGCGAATAAACAGAACCAGAAATACCTGGAAAGCTGAACACTGATCGTATGTATCCCCACAACAGCATTTTCAGCTAGTACGAAAAATAAATGAAAGCGAAAAAAAAAAAACTCACGTTGAATCTTATAGAGAGATGCCTGGAATTGAGACATTTGCATCGTAACACTGCTCCCAGCTATCAAATCCTCGTCACAACCCCGCCACTGACATCGATGTATCCTACTTGGAACAGTCTTCCACCGGGAGCGCTTTCACCTATGCATGAAAAGTTTTACGCTCTTCCTGTAAGCTTTTTGAGCGACTTACTTTGACATACGTGAGATACTTCCCTTGCTGTATGCTTGTAAGCAGGGCGATGAGCTTGCAGTCCTGGATAGAAATTCGTCTGCAAACCGCTATGAAAAGACAACGAGATCTTAGAGTGTGTACCTTGGACTCGGAGAAGCCTTCACTAGCCCAAGGAACTTTAAACATCACGAATGCTCCCTCCATCACTCTCCAGTCGCTTCTCAGCGACGAGGATACCGGTCCCGAGTAGCTGGTCGCAGCGCGTTTCCTTCTCTCGCTGTCACACTCGACTTTCATGCCATCGAGCTTGCCGTAGTAAGGTGCTCCAGGCGCTGGACCGTAGGTGAAAACACCGTTGTACCGCCAGAAGCGTAAGATACGTATCAAGCTCTGCAACAAGAGTGGAGTTCACATGTTATTTTAGCTCTTTCTTGAAGACCACTTATGTAAAATCGAAATACATCGATACCTTTCGGATTTAATGTCGACATCTGCGACAAATCCTGAAACGCAGCTAGCAGTCTTTTAGAATGTAAACATTCTATGTACCCCATGTCAGTAGAAAAACGCTGTTTTTTGGTCCTTCTACAACCGTGGCGACATCAACCGCTGGTTTGTGACTTAACGCAAATAACTCCCTGAACGATATTCACGGATTTTGGCCATGTCTCTCGCAAGCTGGATTTGAGTCACTGAAATAAAATAAACTACAGACGAGAAGAAAACAAAACAAGTGAAAGTGAAACCTTTTTTTCGTGACCTCAATGCGATGTCCTGGGAGTAGTGGCAAAACACCCTGAAAAAAAAATTCCAGGAAAATACAGCTTGTTCTAGGAAAAGAAAGTATCTCTGGTATATATTCTTCGCATCTCTTCATTAACTTCATGCATGGGTTTTTCAGCTTCATTGCTGAGAAATCGATACCATGCGAGCCTCGCGGATGAAACTCACATAAATCCAGTGGCATTGAAGCTGATGGCAACACTCCACAATCCAGCCACTGTAAAAACATATAAAAGGATTAATCTTCCTGTCGACTATCTTATTGGCAACTTCTAGCTTTCAAGAAAACCTATACCGAGGAACCGAAATGTTTATCTATAGCATAAAATCCTCTTTTGCCGTGCGTCCGTACGATTTTTTTGGCAAGCTCACATCTGAGCCGTACAATTCGTGGCGACGGTGCAGATGTAAGCAATTGTGAACCGTTTGCTGAAAGTCCCATGGAGATAGTTTTGTTTTTGAATCCTCACAACCTTGTTCATTCATTCTAGGGTTTCGGGAGGGCGGGGAGCGCGCGTCGCCGCTCGCGTGGATCTTGGTAAGCGCCTCGAATCTCTCTCGCTCCCTCAATCGATCTAGCAGGCATTGTGAGATTGTTCGTAGCTCCCTGACCTGATCAGTTTGTGTTCTTGGAGCTCTGCTCCAAGAAAAGCTCCTGGACAATCCTTCTATTCTTTCAACGCAGTGTATTTGTCTGGCTAACTGATCTTAAAACACCGTTTTTCTTGTCCTAAGAAATGCCTTTTGGTTTGGTACTTTAGCCTGGCTTTAAGATTGATGAGCTCCTTCTAAGCATTCGATCTTTCTGTGCCTCGAGGCATCCGACCTCCTCGAGATCACACAGACTTGGCAGCTTTTCTTTCCATGCTTGTTTTTCGTTTGCTTTGTAGTTCATTTGTCTGGCTAACTAAATTCCTTTGCTACTTTTCTAGAATCATCGAGCCGGAACGAGGTGCTCTTGAACTTCTTTCGAAGTCCTTATAAGTTTTAACGCTACTGCTTTCATGAACTTCTCCCGACTGATCGCTCGCTGTTTCTTTTTCCACAAGGCAGCGTACCTGGTCCTTCCAGGATCGATCAAACTTCCACGAGATCTGGCAACGCGCACCGCCAAGCAGCGTTTTTGACTTGTATGGAGCTATCAGATGTCAACCCGCGTATCTAAACCGCTCAAACCGGGGCTACAAACTTGCGACTTACGGGGCCGTTGTGGACCACTCCAAAGCTTACTCAGCTTCGCGAAGAATCTGGAAATCTGGTTGAGAGCAGATAACTCGGCGGCTTATATGATTCGATGCGATCTGATACGTTGAATCCTTCTTTCAAGTCGGCCGATGCTGATCAAGTCAACCGAGTAAATCTCCAAAACCGTGTGGCGCACAGGTCAGTGGGACGTCTTTCTTCTCCGTACTTAACTGTGGTTTCTAGTCAGTTCCAAGCTTCTAACTGGTCGATTTTTTCTTGTTTGCTGATACTGCTACGAGCCAGGGACAATAAAGGAAGATGTGATCCAGTTGACCAGTTATAGATCAAAGCTCTCGGAAACATGGGCCACCGTTCTCACGTGGGCAGCCCGCCTTGGTCACCAATAACAGTGCCTTGTGGTGGCGAGCCGGGCCCTTGAGTTGCATAGATTCGCGAGCGAAAACGAACTGTATGGTATCCCATTCTCGACAGCGGACGGCGCGTGGAGCGAAGCGGGGGTCCGTTGTGAAGTATCTATCGAGCTCACGTGAAAATTATCCAGAGCTGCTTCCTTTCATTATGTATATAGTCGGGGAGCTATAATGGAGCAAGCTACGAGACAACAAAACAAGCAGAGAGGTATGCTTGAGAATTGATGTGAGTTTGGAATTTTCGGGTGTGGTGACACTGGATATTGACTTTGAAATGTTTTCCCCATTCGATTTTATAGGAAAGGAGATGGCGAAGGAGATGCAGGCCCTAGGAGCTGCTATTTCTCGTCTTCTTCTTTGTTTTTTTCTTTACAACGGGAGGAGGTACGTTATGTGTCTCTTATCGGGTGGAATGGAAACATCAGGGGATCTGAGCTCTACTATCGAGCGTACGGGTTCTTGTGGGCCTCTACAACAGCGACGCAGTCGACCCTGAGAGCGATCCGGATCTGCGAAAATCCTGCTGCTCTTAACAGATCTCGGAACTCGCGTTCAGATCTTTCCTTGCCAAGGAAATGCGCCATCATGACCAAGTCGTAACTTAGAGCCACCCGAGCTCGCTGGCTGTGATCCCCCGGGTCAGGTGCGAGGAACTCCACCATTATGATCTTGCCTCCGTTCTTGAGCGACTTGTAGCAGTTGTTCAACACTTTGATGCAGGAATCGTCGCTCCAGTTGTGCATTATGTGCTGCGGCATTAAAAGCACCAGGCAAGTTAGACACTCTTTATCAACTGACGGACTTGGATAGATAATGCAAAAGCTTTTATGCAGGTCTTGTCGAGTTACCTTTAAGTACATCCCGTCTCCGCCTGGGATTTGCTCGAACATATTTCCTCCAACGTGCTTCATTCCTGAAGAGGATTGAAAGATAAGAGCCATCAGCAACGTGATATACTTCTCAAAGCCAAAGCGAGCAAGGCACACGAAGGCAACAGGAAAACAAACAGGAAAGCAAACAGGAAGAAAGCAGAAGAAGGGAAAGACTAGTACTGACCATCGTACTCCGGAGCACCAGCAACAACGTGAGGAAGGTCGAAGTTAATCCCGTGAATGTGGGGATACTTGGTGAGTATCATTGCGAGGCTGGATCCAGTGCCACCCCCGACATCCACCAGCGTCTTGGTATCCTTGAAGCCGTGGTAATTGTTCACGATGGCTTCCATGTAGATCTCCGACATGTCGGACATGGCAGTGTTGAAGAGGTTGCTCTCCTGGGGGTTGGCTTCCAGGAACTCAAACAGGTTGCGGTCGTGAGCCTTTGCAAACGGGACATCGTCCCCGAGCACGGCATCGTGGAGGTGATGCAGCGACTGGAACAGCTGCTTGTCGTGCCTCACCAGCAGCAACGTCGACAGTGAAGCCCCGCCAGCGTTCCGCAGCAAGTACTTGCAAATCGGGGTGAGGCCGTAGACTTGCTCCGGCTCGCCCGACTCGTCGTCCACCTTCTTGGCCTCGAAGATGTCGCAGCTGGCCAGGAAGCGGAGGATGCGGTCCAGGTGATTGACGTTAACGCTCTTCTTGTTCTTGTTGGAGCTGACTCGCTTGGAGATCTGTCGTGCAGACAGCATGGTGCCTTGCTCCGCGTCAGCCATGATCTGAGGCACGTCCAGGAGAGTTATGGCCTTTAAAGCCATTGGGACAGTGCTGAGCGACATGAGCTCCAGGAAATTGAGACGCTCTCTGTCGTCTGACAGCACCTTCTCCTTCCTCCCGGTACCGTTGGCGCGATCTATGCACTGGAGCACCTCAAAGTGGTTGTGACTGCGGATGTGTTCGTCAGCAACGCTCTGCTCAATCTCAAGCATCTTCGATCGCTCTCTTTCTCTCTCGGTAAGTATTTGCAAGCTTTTTTTCTATTCTTTTTTTCTTTTTTTTGTTCTCTCGGCCTTACTGATTGCGCGACTGCAGGGAAGCGATTCCTCCGAAACAGAGTGATGGCTTTTTAAGCTGCTTCAGGACAAACCACACGAGCGAGAAGTGGAAAAACAAAGAATTTACGAGCTGAGAGAGATGCTTTGGAGCCGCCCGACAAGATGGAACGAATGCGCAACGAAGCACGAACAAGGAATGCGAGACAGGTAAACGAATGGCCACTAGGCTTGCTTGCTAGCACAGCCAGTGCCGTGTTTCGAGAAGAAAGATTGTGCTTGACTTGGTTTTCGTTGAACTGTAGATTCCGGCTGGTGTTTCGCGCAATGATGCAAAGCAAACGCCACCGAGGAAGACAAAACAAAGACAAAGAGGAGAGATTTGGGCCCAAGCAAGCAGCAGCAGTGCCGGCGAGAAGATTGACGAGCGAACAAAAGGTGAGCTACTTTTCTCGCTCGCTTCGCTTCGCTTCTCTCGCTCTCTCGCACCCTCCCTTTGTAGTAGTGGTGGTGGTAGTAGTAGTAGTAGTAGCACTGTGTATTTTTGGAATGGCACTGTGTATGTACTTCCTCAGGGTCTTCTTATATACAGAACAGGAGGGCTTTGGGACGTGCGTAAGCCCTACAAGTCCCGACGGAAAAGAATGGAAGGATGGAAAAAAACTAGAAATATTAACTGTGGAGGGGGACATGCTTCCATCTCTCAACCACCACCTTTCATGATCTTGGCAATGCCCGAATGTATTGACTTGCTCAAACTGGGGGGGCCAATATGGCCGGGGGTGTCGGTCGGATTGTGTTGCGAATTTAACGCTAAACCCGTGGGAAGTATGGTGTGAAGAGACCGCTTAACCATAGGGCGAGCTGGTTGATATCATATAATATGATATGGATTTGCAGACACCATAGGGCGAGCTGGTTGATATCATATAATATGATATGGATTTGCGGAATGATTTGGTTGTCACCATCGGGCAATTTGCATTTGGTTCCTCCTCCCATATCTGTAGACGCGGGGAGGTTTCAATCGCTTTGGCGAGCGATTGCTACCCGGGAGTGAAGGGGGTGCTGGCGATGTGAGCACAATTTACAGCTCTCATGTGGCCTGGCATGGGGGACGAGAGACAGTTTTTAGACTCGTCATATTTTGCTTTTTCTTCTTCTTCTTCTTCTTCTTCTTCTTCTTTCGTCTTCTCCTCAGTTCGATATAGTGCGTATACATTCGTGTCAGACTCGAACTTTGCAAGCTGTTCTAAATTTGTAATCTTTTTTTTCTAGCTTTCCTTTTTTTTTTTTCTTTCCTTTTTTGCTTTTTTTACGGAGGAACACATTACTGTCTTCTGAGTTGTTCGTACATGCTGCCAATCTTGTCAGAGGCCGCGAGGTGCAAAACCACGTAAGTCGGACTAAACATTCTCTTTTCCTTTCTTTATATTTTCTTATTTCCCAATATCCGCGCAAATCAATAATTATATATATTAATATGTCTTTTGTAAAGTTGGAGAACACGAAATGAGACTGAACGTTTGACTGAGAGCATCTGGTTCCCAATTAATAAATAAGGAAGAGTCATATTCTATAAGCAAGAACAAGAAAGAAACATTCCCGCCGCTGTAACTTGCATCGGAAAACCATATGAACCGGATAACATTATCAATTCTCGAGAAACAAAAAACAGAAAGATCTTCCATGGGCATGGTCCATTTCGCGTGCTTTGCTTGTGTAAAGGCTACGTCTGGTCTAGTATACCCCATTTTGGGATTAGACTTGTGTAGGCCAAACACCCATCCGATGTCCAAAAAACGATACGGTGCTGCAACCAGGTGCATTCAATTGGAGCACACTCTGTCTGATTTCTCGGGGAGAACATCTTGGCAACGACACGACAGGATCACATGGAATTAAGGCCTCCGCGACAGAAGGCTTACAAAAGCAACAGACGAGGAGCGAAAACAAAGTTGGTCTTCAGATATTTGGCGAGAAAAAACTTTCGGATCCGACACTGTTCACAAACCACGATACCTGGATTCTCAGCCAGCGCCCATAAACATTGCTTGTCTCGGAAGCAGCGAAAACAAACAAGAAAGCGCAAAAGACCAAGAGATTGTACATGCGTTCTTCAATTGCCTTGCTCGGGAGATCGGGACCATCCACGTGGACGGTCAGAAACAGCACATGAGGAGCCCTAATTCGCTCGCAGCTGCCTAGGGCTTTATTCGCAAGGGGCGGGGTTTGGTCCATCCGGAAAGGTATGATGCCCGTCGTTTTTGCTAGAGAGAGCCCACTCTGCATCTGGGCGCCACGAGATTCTGGATCTACATCTAGCAGCGGTAAAAAAAAATTTGGGCTTTGTTTTGCAGATGATTGATGATCAGGATCTGGGCTTCTTTGCAAACTTCCTGGGAATATGCATTTTTGTGCTGGTGGTGGCATATCACTATGTAGTGGCAGACCCCAAGTATGAGATTACCACATAGGTAGTTGAAATCCAGTTGAATTCAGCAAAGGTGATGCTGCTGCTCCTGTTTTTTTAATAAAGAGAGGGGATGGGGTCAACTGATCTTCCCTGATTTTTCCTTGTTTTTCTGGAGGCTGTTCAGCAAGTCAGAGGGGTGCTGCAGCTTTTGTAACAAGTGCAGGGGAACATCACCAACAAGTTGTGGGGTTTCTGCTGGTGGGTGTTGTGGAAAGGAAAGGTGCGATTCAACTGCTATTGTGCAAATTCTGCAAATGGTGGCTGGGCATACCCATGAATGCAACAAAATCATTCTTTTTTCTCCTCCTTTTTTCTGGTTGTTGTTGGCCTTTGTCTTCCACCCCCTCCAAATCATTTGAGGCATCATAATCATAAAAAAAATGAAAAACCTCTCTCACACACAGATTTGGAGTTACAGGACTTTTATAGCTACATTTGTCCACATGTTTTTTCTGGTTTGTTTCTTTTTTTTAAATATCCTGGCGCAACCGAAACATTGCTCTAAATTGCCACATGCTGCACAAAAACACAAACCAAAGAAACTGAAAAAAAAATTTAAAATTTACGAAGGATGGAGGAATTGGTCCCAACCTCCTCTTCTATGCAAATGCGCTGCCATGGCACTTGCAATTGCAATTCAAGCACTTGCTCCCTGCAAAAAGGCGCGCTTCTCTCATGTGATTTCTTCAATAGCTCTGGAATATTCCCTGGCACGAGAATATTCGTAAGGTTTTGGCGGCGACGAAGTATTTTTTGGCGGGAGTTTTGAAACCACGGCAAAGACCTAAAGATAGCGTGCTGGGACAGCCGTCCACGTCGAGCGGCTGCGATGCCTCCACGTTACAGATCGTGAAACGGCCATAACATCTGTGCCGTTGAAATAAAGCCCTATCTTGCCATTCCCGCTTCTCTGTCGGTTCTTCTCCCCTCTTGGCGGCGTCTTTGCAAACGCCCTTCCTCGAGGGAGTTCTTGGTGTTTCGGCGCCCGATCTGTGAGCTAGCGCGGCCGCTACATCGTTCCTGCGAAGATGAGGGAGTGCATTTCGATCCACATCGGTCAGGCCGGAATCCAGGTCGGAAATGCCTGCTGGGAGCTCTACTGCCTCGAGCACGGCATCCAGGTATGTTTCTAAGAGCTACATTGGGTAGATCTGCTTGGATCTTGCGTTCTTGATGCCTAGATCGGAGATTTTGGGTGTTGATTGCTAGATCTTAGCGAGTTTTTGGGGGTTTTACTCAAATGCGTCTTAGATGTCGGATCTTGCGCTGCTTGAGTGTTTTGGCGAGATTTCTTGGTGTTGTTTCTTGATCTAGTGCCGTAATAATCGATTTGTTTTCTTACTCAGCCGGATGGAACAATGCCGAGCGACAAGACTGTTGGTGGGGGCGACGATGCCTTCAACACCTTTTTCAGCGAGACTGGAGCTGGAAAGCACGTCCCTCGCGCTGTTTTCCTCGATCTTGAGCCTACCGTGATTGATGAGGTCCGCACTGGAACTTACCGCCAGCTCTTCCACCCTGAGCAGCTCATCAGCGGAAAGGAAGACGCTGCGAATAACTTTGCTCGCGGTCACTACACAAGTAAGATGAAGCTCTTTTTTTTCGCAAACGATGGCTAAGTTTTTTTTTCTTGGTGTAGTTGGAAAGGAGATTGTCGACCTTTGCCTTGATCGCATCCGAAAGCTGGCTGACAACTGCACTGGGCTCCAAGGATTCCTGGTGTTCCATGCCGTCGGCGGTGGCACGGGTTCTGGGCTTGGCTCCCTCCTCCTGGAGCGACTTTCTGTCGACTATGGGAAGAAGTCCAAGCTCGGATTCACCGTTTATCCATCGCCTCAGGTGTCCACCTCCGTTGTCGAGCCTTACAACAGCGTCCTCTCGACGCACTCTCTCCTGGAGCACACCGACGTTGCTGTGCTGCTGGATAACGAGGCAATCTACGATATTTGCCGGAGGTCCCTTGACATCGAGCGCCCGACTTACACCAATCTTAACAGGCTCGTCTCACAGGCAAGTGTTTCTTTTCTCTTAAGTGTTGGCAGCTTTCTTACTTCAGTTTTCTTTCCGCACAGGTCATCTCGTCCTTGACTGCCTCGCTCCGTTTCGATGGTGCACTCAACGTCGACGTGACCGAGTTCCAGACCAACTTGGTGCCATACCCGAGGATCCACTTCATGCTCTCGTCCTACGCGCCGGTCATCTCCGCCGAGAAGGCGTACCACGAGCAGCTCTCGGTGGCCGAGATCACCAACACCGCCTTCGAGCCAGCGTCCATGATGGCAAAGTGCGACCCCCGACACGGAAAGTACATGGCCTGCTGTCTCATGTACCGCGGCGACGTGGTTCCAAAGGACGTGAACGCGGCCGTGGCTACCATCAAGACCAAGCGGACGATCCAGTTCGTGGACTGGTGCCCGACCGGATTCAAATGCGGCATCAACTATCAGCCCCCGACGGTGGTTCCAGGCGGAGATCTTGCCAAGGTCCAGCGCGCGGTGTGCATGATCTCAAACTCCACCAGCGTCGCCGAGGTGTTCTCCCGGATCGACCACAAGTTTGACCTCATGTACGCCAAGAGGGCGTTCGTCCACTGGTATGTGGGCGAAGGCATGGAGGAAGGGGAATTCTCCGAGGCCCGCGAAGATCTGGCAGCGCTCGAGAAGGATTACGAGGAAGTCGGGGCCGAGTCCGCGGATGGAGAGGACGAAGAGAACGACGAGTACTAAAAAGCTAGCTATGGAGTTCTTGAAGTTCTTCGTTTCAAGTGTTCTTACTAAAGTGGTTTGGTTCTACGCTCTTTTCTCACGAGTGGTTTCACAGTAGAAGTTTGCAATTCTATGATCTATTCTCTTGGAATTTGATAGAGCATCGTTTGACTTCCAAGAACATTAGACAATGGTGTACGGTATGTCGCGTTCTTACCGTTCGTACAGGAGAATATAGCCGGGTTGAAATGTCGGTGCGTCGTGTGCCACGTGGCGGGCCGTAATTGGTCGGCGGCGGCTTTCGAGAGCGAGGCGCGACGCATCCAATGCAAAAGGGCCCCCGCGTCAGTCAAAAGTAGAGGAGAATTTTAGGGTTCTTGCGCTTGGCAGCGCTGCGCTGAGGGTTTAGATTGGAGCGCGCGCGCGCCTGGGCCCGGGGATGATCTACTCTCTGGTGGCTCAGCTACTCGCGGCGGCATGAATCGTCATCTGCTGTTCGTCACCAGCGTTGTCGGATTCTCGCTCGTGGGATTCTACGTCGCGGAGCTCGTGGAGCAGCGGTACAAGGTATGGATGGATTGGCGGGCGCTTCTTGCCTGCGAATGTAGGTAGATCCAGCATGGCTGATTTCTTGTTTCTACGTTCTTGGCTTGCAGCGATCGAAATATCAAGAAGCGCTGGATCATCTTGCGGAGCTCAAGGCCCTGGAGAGCGCGTCTATGCTCGAGACTGCCAGTGAGCGCAAGAGGAGCGATTGATTGTCGCGGTAGCGTAGTGTCAAATGAAGGATGCTGCTTCACTTTCGAGATCCATCAAAGCTCAAGACAAAGAGAGTAGGTGTTCTTGATTTACTGCTCGTAAAGCTTGTTTGCTGTGTTTCTAGGTGGTGTTTGAGGCTACGTACTATGCCCGCGACTCTGGAACCTTGGAACAGCTCAAGGATCTCAGCACTAAAAGGAAAGCGATTGAAGAATCCATCAATGGAAGTAGCAATCTCACCGCCGCAATTGCGAGAGAGATGGCTGGCGGCGTTACATCTCCCATCTTGCAGGTATGTGCCTTTCGAGGATTCTTTGCTGAGAATCACTTTGTTTTTCTCTAGGACCTACAAAAGCTGGAGAAGTATCTTCCTCTGCTTGAGAATCTAGTGGCAAACGTGCTACAGCAGCAGAATTTGCAGATCCTGCAGTGGACAAGTGACTTGAAACTTCGGTGGACGAGTGCTTTGTGTGGTCCTTCCGGCCATGGCTTGGGAGGGCCGAAGTACTGCCGGATTGACGATCTACGTTTCGAGCTAGCAATGATGCTCTCTCTTTATGCGGCGTTGTTAAGAGAAAGAGCCATGGAGTTGCTTGCGACCGGTAAGATTTCCTTGTTGATAGCCTGATTGATTTTGACTGTCGTTTTGCCAGACTTAGTCGAGTCCGCAATGCTTTTCCGTAGAGCGTCCGGTGTGTATCATCACTTGTCCCAGGATTTGCTTCCAGGATTGCAGCCGTTACTATCATTGGACAAATCTCCCGAGCTTACTTCGTCAATGACAACGGCGATGAGTCTTGTTTGTTTGGCTGAGGCGCAGGTACGAAGCAATTATTCTCACCTTCTTTGATGTAACCAGCTTTTCCAGGCCGTCACCGTTCGCAAAGCCGAGCAAAACATGACGAGCGGGAGCCTCGTCGCGAAACTCCACTATGGCGTCGTGATGTTTCTCGAGGAAGCCATCAATCTATTGCAAGCTAGCTCCACTGACTGGATTGACGTCTCAGACAAGCTAAAGGTGCGTTTTTCTTTCCTTTTTCTAGTTTCACTGAGAAATGCTAACGGAGATAGATTCATTCTAGAGGTTCGTGACTGCTTCCAGTGTTCTCCACGAGGCGAGATGCCGGCGACTCATCGCGGAAGAGTTTAAGAAGATCGAGCGGTTGGGCATGGCCGCGGGGATTCTCCGTCTGGTGTCGAGGAAAGCACACCTTGCCAAGCCTCCAGGTTTGGATTGGATCACTTTTGGATCAATCAATCTCATGAAAGCGAATTACTTTTCCTTGTTCCAGGGGATGGTACGTCCAAGCTGGTGTTCAAGGCAGAGATCACAGCACTGAACGAGATGCTGCGAAAATGCGAGCACGAAAACGATTTCATCTGGCGAGAGAAACTCCCACAGCCCGACGAGATTCCACTCATGGAAGGGAAGAAAATTGTGTCGGCGATTCCATACAAGGCATCGGGTCTGTGGCGAGAGCTTATCTTCGTGGTGTGATGGAAGAAGGCTTTTTTTTTTTTCTCGAGGAGACAATTTTGGAATAAAACTAGAATATGCGGTCGGATCTTTATAAGCATATACTTAAGGATATCCGAAGGGATGTTCATTGTTGCCCTAAAGTGGCATCGTCGTGTTGGATCGTGATGAAAGCTTTGGAGCGCTTGCGGAGTATCGCGTTGGGTCCTCGATCAGCTCCAGCACCCAAGAGTGAGTACGCGCTACTTCTCTGATCGATCTCGCTCCTATTTGCGCGATTTTTCTCGAAGATTTCTCGTAATCTGGAGCGAGCGAGAGAGGAGAGAGATAGGGAGAGATAGAGGGCCCTTGCATTGATTTAGTACTTGTGCTTTGCTCCAGGCAAGTGGGCTGAGCCACGGCGAGAGGAAGTGGTGGTGCCAAGGCAATCGCTTCTCCTCAAATTGCGAGGCTTTGTGGGCGTCTTCCTCGTGATCAATGTCTGCATTGGTGGTACGTAAAAATCTCCCTGGTTCTTCTTCATTCTTGTTGACTCTTCTCGTGAATCGAGAGGCAGCAAAGATGAAGAACAAAAAAAGAGTTTGATGACTTACACTTGGTTTTTTTTTTGTTCTTCGTTGGCCCAGGCTATTTAATTGCGAAGACTACACCAAAATCGAGCAAGAAGCAGCGTGCGCAGAAAAAGGACGCCGCAGAGTCGCCGCCGGCGGCCCAAGCTCCTCCCGCGCGAGTTCCTCACAGGAAAGTCACGGCCAACGAGCAGCGCCAGCTTTTCCAGTGGATGCTCGACGAGAAGAGGAAGATCAAGCCCGCGAATTCCATCGAAAAGGCCCGGATCGACGACGATAAAAAGGTCTTGAAGCAGTTTCTTCGATCTACGAATCTACCGCAGATATAGAACATTTTTATTTGTTCTTCTGGAGACAGTTTTGGTAGTCGCGATTTATGCGTTTTTCATTCGGCGAACGTTTTTAGTGTAGTCGATATTTGATTGAATCATTCGATCCAATGTTTGTGGAACTGGTTCTTAAATTTAAAATTTAAATTTAAATTTATAACAGCTTTAAGTCAAAAGCAACAAAATTCGTTATTATTATTATTATTATTATTATTATTGATGATGATGATAATAATATTAGGAGAGAAAAGAATGTCAAATTGATGTTATACAGTCCCAAGGAAAACCAAGAAGAAGAAGAAAGAGAAATAATTTTACTTTGGTGAGATCCCATACCTGTGGGCTCACTCTTATATGCTAAGTTAGAAGAAAGAGAACAAGTAGAAGATCTTGGAAAGTTTTTTGTTGTCTTCTCTCTCTGTGATCTCTCTCACCTTGATAGGTCTCAAAGATGAGATTTTGCCCCTCCAAGAACTTGGGAAAGGAAAGAACTCACTCCTCCAGCAGCAGCAAAAAAAACCCTGGAAATTCCCTCCCGAAGGAACTTGGACAACAAACAAAGCAGGAAAAAAAGGAGAAAAAGAAGGAAAAAAAAAAGAGAGATTCATCAAAATGGTGGCCTATTCCCAGCTGCTGCCCAGGCCAAGACTTCAGGTGGCAACTGCCCCAGTGAATTCTGTGCCAGGTTTAACAAGGCCATCTCCTGCTGGCTCGCCCCACCTGAGCCTCCCCCAGGCCCACCGGGCGACACATTCACCAGGTGATGGTTCCCTTGGACGCCCGGATTCTCGCCACCTGTCTCGAGGCTCTCATCCAATGGCAGCCGATCGTACGTCGCCCCTACAAATGACGCGGCGATAACTAGTACCGGGCTAGCCGCCATGAGCACCCCGACCACGCTGCCCCCTAAGACCTGCCCCTGTTGCGCCCCGGCCAGTGCCACCGTCAGCCCCGCGACCGCGACCGGGGCTGGCGGCGGTAAAAAGGCACCGGATATGCTAAGAATCTCGAATCTACCGTGAAAGGTGACAGTGGATCCCGGCGCCGCCAGCTGCCGCAGCGTCACGTTGGCCACGGTACCGCTACCGCCCAGTACGCAAAGTCCGCGAGCCCGGCGTCGCGCGAATGCCGCCAGCGTCTCGCCCACGTCACAGCCGCCGGCGATCTCCAGGACGTGGGGGCGCATCGCGTTGCCCGAGTCGCGCGTAATGATGATGGGCGGCTTGGGCTTGTTCTTGGAGCCCGGCGGTCGTCCGCGCGGTTTGCGTACTACCACCTCGCCGCCACCAACGCCGCCTGCGCCGCCGCCGCCGCCGCCGCCACCGCCGCTGTGGCTGTGATCTTTGAGCAGCAGCGAGGAGGACGAAGAGCCGGCCTGGAGGAGCGCGGCGTTGTTGTTGTTGTTGTTAATTCCTTTGGAGTTGCTGTTGTTGTTGTTGATCCGTCCTCCGCCCACGACTCCGCCACCGCCTTTGCTGCCCCCGCTGCTGTTGTTCGAGTGATTCTCGTCGTCGTCGTTCGAGTGGCCGCCGCCGCCGAGGTGATGGTGTTGGTGATGCTGCTGCTGCTGCTGCTGCTGCTGCTGTTGCTGTTGCTGCTGCTGGTGGAGGAGCTGGAGCTGGTGCTGGAAAGATCCTGGAATTCCAGCCATGGAAACTTTCTGCTTCGCGGAAGATCACCTCAACGCTTGAGCTGCTGTGCGATGCTTACTTGATCCAAGAAGCTTATGCTTTGTGAGTCTTCTTCTCAAGCTCCATAGCCGCGCATTTGGATCCTAAGATCGCTCCACCACACTGTGGCAAGGAAGGAAACCCACTAGACTGTACAGAAGATGCGGCCCTCGGTAGCACTGGAGGCTCGGTGACGTTCTTGTGCTTGGATCCAATCCAGTTCTTGAGAGAGCTCTATCTAGAGAGGAGAAAGAGAGGACGTAGAGGGGAGAGAGAAGTGTGATGTCCAGTCGGGACAAAAACCAAACCTTGGAAAGATTCTTCCTCCTGTCACTGGCCTTCATTCAAGAAGAGAGCCCACCGCTCGATCTTTTGGGGATAAGCTCGAGGACGCGACGACCATTGCGTTGTGAATCAAAAACCCTCCTTTTTCTCGCTTTTGTGCTGGTTTCTCTCTCCTTGCGAGCAAGATCAAATGATGGTCTCCTGGATTTGATGGTACACTTGGCGCGCCGGGATGGGGAAGATCAAACTTTTGGTATTGTTCGAGCTTCCACTGGAAAGCTAGCAAAGGATGTATGGATTGGATCAAAGAAGAAGAAGAGAAATCTAGCAATGCCGGAGAGGGGGAGTTTAGTAAAACGAAGCGAGCGGAGCGAGACAAGAAAAAACGATCCGGTGTGATTAAAAAGAAGAGCGCGTGTGTGTTCGTGGGGGCGATTCAGCAGCTATGATCATTTGACAAGTCGACCCTCTGATTGGATGATTGAATGGAGGGGGAATTGACTGCTTCGTCGTCACGGCGAGACAACCCAAGCACTCAAAGCTGCTACTGCCGCTGCTCTCCTGAGCTCCTGTTACTGCTCAGGAGCTGAATTATCAGAAGGAAATCCTTGTACAAAAGTCTTGTTAAAGTACCTTGTGGCCAGGTAGAGAAAGAAAGAAAGCAAAAAAAAGGAAAAATGAGGAAAAAAAAGAGAGATAAACGTTTAAGTGCACACCCAAAACAGGCTTCTGCTGCTGCTGCTGCTGCTGCTCCTGCTGCTCCTGCAACTTAGCCAAAATCAGCCTCCTCTTTCTCTTCGATTTGTGGAGAATACAATGAGCAAAGATGAGAGCAAACAGGCTTTCGTTTGTGAGAGAGAGAAGAAAAAAATAAGAGTAAACAAAGTGGTGTGCACAGCAGATGAGGAGGGAAGTGAGGTGGTGGGCTCTTGAAATATATATAATATTTTTCTAAACAGGAAAAATGGTTTTCCTTGAAACTTTTTTTCTCTTTTTCCTTTTTCTTTTCTCCTCTAATGGAAACATGGTTTCAATGGTGATGGTGAGAGGCTTGTGGGGATTTGTGAAATTTTGGTGACCCAGAATTGTGGTGGGTGGAGCAGAGGCTTTGGGATGAATGAGAGTTGTGTGTGTGTTTGGAATGGATGGGATTTGGGATGAAGAGATGGTTAGCTGACCAGTCTGACCCAAGAATGTGGGGGTTTTGACCGGTCCTTGACCATCTTTGACCGGCCACTTTTTGCTGGATTTGAAAGGACTGGTGGCAGCAACCAACGAACAAACCTTCTCAAATCCAACACATTGAATGTACGAAGCGATGGAAAGAATTGGTGGCTTGTAAGCTTTCAGAGAGATACTGTGGCCCATGGCACAGCCAGTGGGATGGATACTATCAAATTGCTAAAGCATTATTATTTTGAATAATTTTGAACTTTTTTATATGAATAGTTGTTTTCCAAATTATCAGAGAAGCGACAATAATGGTTGGCAGATCCCAAGGCCTCCACTGCGACCACGTCGCCCTCGCGATCCGACGGCTATCATTGCTCGTATATGACGACAAGTTGGCGTAGTCGTACCTTGGGGTAAAAGGTGAAAGTAAATGTACAAAGTTAGATTGGCCGGGGTTAGAATCTGGTCGGCCGCAGCCCGACAAGCGTGCGTTAAATCGACGATTTCGAGAGGTCGCCTTGGTATTTTACTGACGGCCTCGAAGTTAGTGCGCGTAGAATACAGGTATATTCTTGTTTCTAAAATACAAACAGCCGACCGTACTTTTCTGGTGATCCAAGTTCTCAGATGTTTCTGCGAGCCAGGATCAAGCCATAGATTTATTAAACGTTGCTCTACATCCAATTTTTTGTGGTGAGAAGAGACAAAAATCGTGGAAGTTGTTTGATTGATTGAAAGCGTAGCATCAAACCCAAGAAAATGGAGTGAAGTGGAGCAAGAATACGAAGATAACTTAGATCTAAAAATCTAGTCTAGACTTTTGGCAAAGAAATATTCAAAGTGGTTTCTTTAACCCACTCTTATAAGGTCAAAAAAATTCTAGCAATGAGTAATAATCCAGGATAAAACATTAGAAGGTGGAGAAAGACAATGTTTCCTAGTATGAAGTTCCAATGATAACTTGCTTGAATCAGCTTCAAACATTTCACAAGGTTCTCTATACTCTCGAAAAAGAACAATTTAGAAGAAAAAAAACTAGTCAACTTGTAATGTATCTCTAGATTGCGTTTGCTCGCAACTCAAAACTGGAACTTACGAAGGAATATGGGGCCATGGGGCATTAACAAAGCCGAGCACATACAAAACTATAATCCATCCCAGCTAGAATCTATCGCTCATTTTGGCTTGGCCCAAGAACAAAAGTCCTGGACAAAGAACTCGTTCAAAACCTGAAAAAAAATTTGGATTCTTCTTTTCTTCCTTAGAAAAACATAAACCAAGCTCCTTTATAGAGCTTGCAAGTATGCATTCCGCTTGGCCCGAAAGTACTTGGTTTCGTGTCACAAATCACTAATGCAAAGATGCCGAGCATCCGACCCAAGTGTTAGCATTGAGCTGTCGATCATTCTGTCGAGAACATGTGGGGCATAGCGTGATGGATTAGCTCAACTTGGTTCTCACTTTAAACATTGATTATACTATCTTATAATAATTAATATTGAATTTTAAAGTGATTTAACAATATAATACCACGTAATAACAGTGAATGCGATCCTTTGGACACCAGGCAAGAATTATTAATCGTGGCTCTCCTAAAGAGCGAAGGGGAGCGATCGCTTTCGAGTGATGCATAGACCCTGCGTGGTGTTTCTGGAGATGGTGGTGTTGATCTTGGGACGATTCGAGTGGCACCGACTCGTATAGTGGCATGATGTACGAAGCAAACACTAAATTAATGCGATGCTCGGTGCTTATTTTCTTGTCCAGGCTAGAAAACACCACCATTTTACTTAGAATAGCGTTTTCTAATGGAACCGGCCACAAAGTCAATCACATGTTTTCTGGAATCAATTGTTAACAACGCGGCCGAGCAAATCCATCCAGGTCAGTATGGAGTCGGGGATTAAAAAATGGCGACAAACAACGGAGAGAGAAAGAACATGGGATTAAAAAATGGTGCATTATTATTACTAATATTATTATCTAAACTATTTAAAGCTATATTATCATCATTAAGAAATGGCAAGCGCACGGCATGGACAATGGAGCAACGATGTTGATTCCATATTGTAACACTGGCATTGAGGCATTTGCTCTACACTTAATAATTGTTCCACATGGTTGGTCTCAAGCCCCACATGGTTCTCAAATTCCAAACCATGTACCTCCATTTATTTTATTGCAGATAGATCATAGGCCATAAAAATATGTATATTTGTAACATCAGGGCCTATCATACATTGTATCGTGGTGTGAGCCCCCTTGAATCAAGGAGACGGTGTGTTACAACCAAAGGCGCGACGGTCAGGCTTCCTTATGCCACGTAGGACGCATCCGACGGCTGCGATGCGTTGCGACTTGGCGGTTTGAAAGAATGACACGTGTCGAATATGGCCACGTGGAGGATATGGCCGCGAGGGTTTTCTGTTGCCCTTGTTCTTCCTCTCCATTTTGCGCCGGCAATGCAGGGCGGCGCCGGGCTTCCTCGCGGCGGATTCGAGCGCTGGGGGAGATTGGCGATGGCGGCGAGGATGGAATCCTGCGAGGAGGTATGTCGGAGGAGCTCGACAAGCTTTTCGGCGATGAGGAATCCAAGGCGCTGCTCCGGGATTTGTCCGCGGCTGCTCGGCGCCTGGATGCCGCCAAGCGCGAGATGGAGGATCTGGCCGGCAATGTGGCGAGGGAGGAGGATGATCCCGAGCTCCAAGCCCAAGAGCGTCTTGTAGGTTCTATAATCTCTCTTCCAGTGATGGATTCTTTGGATTGTGGATGTTCCAGGTGGAGCAGTGCGAAGAAGACGTGATCTCCGCCCAGGCCGAGCTGAAAGCCGCGGAGATTGCTCTCATCGTTGCTCGCGCCGGTGGATCCAAGTGGGAAACTTCGGACGTGGACGAGGACGTGGAGAGGATGGAATCGGGACGAGCAGCTCTCGTCTCGGCAGTGGCTGGAACTCTTGCGAGCTTGCCGCTGGCTTTGATCGGTCGAGAGGTGACAGGATTGGTTATCAGCGAAGCTCTGGTTCTCGTCACTTGTGCGGTGTTTGGAGTCACGTATCGCTACATCGTTCGAAGAGACCTTGGAAACATCCAGCTCAAGAGCGGAGCCGCGGCAGGATTTGCTCTCGTTCGAGGTAAAAGTTTGGTCTTTTTCTTCTTCTTTCAAGTGTTCGATCTAAAACGATGGCTTGTTAGTGTAGTTCTTGGACAACTCGAGAGTACGCAAGTTTTACCCGGTTCTTGGACGGCTTTGGAGTACCAAGCCGTAGCTCTTTTCGTCGGGCAAAGCGTGGTGATGTTCTTGGCTGCTGCCCTGGCTTTGGATCTGTGCATGAAGTTGGAAGTCATCCAACCTTTTCCATCGCGAAAAAGCGTCTAAGTGTTTCGCAATTCCTGTAAAATGAATAGTAACTCTATCAAAGAACTTGATTGGTTTTTAGAATACTTACACGCTTTAGACTTGAGAAAGCTTTCGGCGTTTGTTCACAGAGCCATCTTCATGGCTATTCTCTGGTGAGATTCGTAGTCGACGAGTTGAAAATCTTTGGCCGTGAAGGAATCGATATCCTTGTTACTGGTCGCGATTTTCAGAATCTGTAACAACACGGTAGTGTGAGATCGAACTAGGATTGTTCTTTCACTCACAGGGAAGGGCTTTGGAACGTTCTCCAGCTGCTCTTTGAGCGGATCAACATGATTCGTGTAGACATGAGCATCGCCAAGAACATGAACGAAGTCTCCAGGCGCCAGATCTTTTTGTCAATACGAACAGCCAAATAGCATATCGAGAAACAAGAAAATGTAGCGAACATACCACAGACGTGCGCGATCATGCAAGTTAAGAGTGCGTAGGACGCAATGTTGAATGGAACACCGAGTCCCATGTCACAAGAGCGTTGATACATCTGGCAAGAGAGCTCGCCATTGGAAACATAGAACTGGACACACAGTCACGCTTCAGAGAAAACAAAGACGAGAGTTCTAGACTTACTTGAGCGAACATATGACAGGGAGGGAGAGCCATTTGCTTCAAGTCTGCGGGATTCCACGATGATAAAACGATTCGGCGATCATCCGGCTTGTTCTTTATTTTGTCTATGACTTCCGCTAGCTGATCTACACCTTGTCCTGTGTAATCATCATGCATGGTGGAGTATCTGACAAAAAAGATCAAAATCTTGCGTTAAGAGTCGAGAAAATCGATTGTTTAAAACGAACCTGGCTCCAAAATGCCTCCACTGAAAGCCATACACGGGTCCAAGATCGTTCTCTTCTCTTTCAGAGAGGCCAATGCTAAATGAATCAACGTAGAATTACTTGAATCCAGAAAAATAAAACAGAAGCACAAACCTGTCGAGGTATTCTCTTGAGCCATTGCCCTTCCATATGTGAATTCCTTTGTCCTCGAGAACCTGATAGTAAGTAACTGTGAGATCTGGTGTTTGTAAAATGTACGCTACTCTCTACCTTCGCGTTTGTGGATCCACTTATAAACCAAAGTAGCTCTTCGACAACTCCCCGCCAAAACACCCGCTGAAAAAAGAATTATTTGGCCTCGACATTGTGAAG